CTATAGGGTCTCACTGCATAGGTGGGACTTGTGGTGATCCTCCTGTTTACAGCTTTCCAAGTGCTGGGATTACAGGAGTGCGCCACCATGCCCAGTCTCAATTTCTGGCTCAGCATGCCCTGGGGACGGGGCCAGCACAGCAGGCCTGGGAATTGAACTCCAGGTCCCTTTGTCTGTCTAAGCAAGTGCTTTAATCCACTGAGCTATTTGGCTGGCCCTACGCTTATTATTTTAAAAAGTTACTTTAAACTGGGTGAGATGATACATACCCATCATCCAGTCTGGGTAACTTTGTAACTTAATGAGACTCTGTCTCAGAATAAAAAATGAAAAGGATTGAGGATGGAGCTCAGTGTGAAGGCCATGGGTTCAATACCAGTGCAAAAAGAAAGGAAAAAGAGAAAAGAAAAAGTCCAGTTATAATAAATGAGTCACTGAAGCCGAGCGTGGACCATGCCCTCACTGGTGGGTACCCACCTCCACAATGTTCTCTGTCCCCACCTCTGAGTCCCTAGGACTCCTCAGGGCCCCCAGCTCCTCCCATGCCTCCACCTGCACCCCTGTCTGCCTGTCTGTCTGCAGATATTCCTGTTGATCATGGTGGTCTCCCTGGTCCTGAGCCTGGGGTTCTGGCTCCAGGCGCATGAGTTCAGGGACAAGCACTACTATGTGCCGGCCGGGCACGCCAAGGGGCCCTTTGTGGACTTCTTCCTCATCTTCTGGGCCTTCCTCATCCTGCTCAGCGTCATGATCCCCATGGCCATGTTCATCATGTGAGTCTGCAGTGGCCCTGGCCACGCCCATGCGGTGCTCCTGGCAGTCCTGGGTGGGCGCGTATGACAGTTGTGACTTGCAGATCCGAGTTCATCTACCTGGGGAACAGCGCTTTCATCAACTGGGACCTGAAGATGTATTACGCGCCCCACGATGTGCCTGCCAAGGCCCGCAGCACCAGCCTCAACGACTACCTGGGCCAGGTGCAGTACGTGTTCTCGGACAAGACCGGCACGCTCACACAGAACATCATGAGCTTCAAGAAGTGCTGCATCGACGGCCGCATCTATGGTGGGGCTTCCCGTGGAGCGGCGAACCTGGTGGGTGGGAATGCCCGACACTGCACCTGGCTTTCAAAGCCTAGAGCTGCTCAGATCTAAAGCACAGACAGCAGCCACCTTGCCCAGGCAGCTCTTGATGCTGAGATTCCAGGACAGGGCAAGGCGGGAGCTGAGCCCTGAAACTGGGATCTTTACCCAGGTCCGGATAACGAGGACAAGACCTTCCCCAAGGTAAGCCCCCTGCCAGCCCCAGGACACTGGGCCATATGGGTGGGCAGGGACCCATCTGGGTCAACTTGTGCCTTGCCCGCCCACATCCGCAGGAGAATCCATACCTGTGGAACGAGTTTGCAGATGGGAAGCTCTCATTCTTCAACAAGGAGCTTCTGAGCCTGGTGCGCACCAAGCAGGACAAGGTGGTGCAGGAGTTCTGGCGCCTGCTGGCCATCTGCCACACCGTCATGGTCCAGGAAGTGGACAGTGAGTGCCTCGATGCCACCCCTGACCCTCAGGGTAGGCTTGGGATCCCTGGTCTTGGATTCCACCAGGCCACACCTCCCAGGCCTGGATTAGTAGAGAGTAAGCAGTCAATGTGCTGTGCAGGCCTAGGGCCTGAGCCCCTGGAATGTGGTCTCAAGTGGGAGGGTCACATAGATGGGGACCCACATACCCACCTCCCTTCCTCAAGGCCTGGTGGTTGTAGAAGCCCCAGGGACTGTCATCCAAGCCTCCTCTCTGGGAGGCTGAGGTAGGTAGATCACAAGTTCCAGCCCATCCTGGGCAACTTAGCAACTCAGGGAGATCATAAAAAGAAAGAAAGAAAGAAAGAAAGAAAGAAAGAAAGAAAGAAAGAAAGAAAGAAAGAAAGAAAGAAAGAAAGGGCCGGGGAGATGGCTCAGTAGAATAAATGCTTGGATGGCAAGCACAAGGGCCTGAGTTCAATCCCTGGTTCTGCAGGGAAAAAAAAGAAAGAAAGAACATGGCCAGGGCTGAGGAGATAGCTCAGTGGTTTAAGTGCCTGCCTGGGAAGCTCAAGGACCCAGGTTTGAACCCCGTACTGGTATTGCATGCCATGCCAGCCCCAGAACCCTGGGCATGCCATGCAGGTCTCTGAAACTAGGTGTGGTGGTGCATGACTGTAATTCCAGCATTGGGGAGGCTGAGACAGGAGGATCACTATGAGTCGTAGCTGCATAGCAAGACCCTATGCCAAATAAATAAATCTTTAAAAATATTAAAAAAGAAAAAGAGGCATGGCACAGGTCTGTAATTAACAGCATTATGGAGACTGAGGTAGGAGGATACCTATGAATGACAGCCTGAACTATACAGCAATACCCTCTCTCAAAAATAAAATAAATAAGAAAAAAAAAAAAAAGGCTGTTATTTAGCTCCTGCAAGGGCCTTTGTTTCAGTTTCCTGTGGGCAAAACAAAAATTAGAAGCCTTGATGACCATTTCCTCTTCTGGTTGTGCAGAACTCTACTCTATCTCTGTATCTCTGGGGTGTCTTTCTCAGGGTGCTGGCTGGATATCCACCTGGCCCCTGCCTCACACTCCCCAACCCCCCAGACCAGCTCCTGTACCAAGCCGCTTCCCCAGACGAGGAGGCGCTGGTCACTGCGGCCCGGAACTTTGGCTATGTGTTCCTGTCACGCACCCAGGACAGCATCACGGTGGTGGAGCTGGGGGAGGAGCGGGTCTACGAGGTCCTGGCCCTCATGGATTTCAACAGTGACCGAAAGCGCATGTCGGTGCTGGGTGAGGCCAGGGCAGCCCCCTGCCATGGGCTGGGGACAGATGAAGGTTGGACCGGGGAAGTGTGTGTGGGCAGCCAGGCCTCTCCCCCAACCCCATAGTGCGGACGCCAGAAGGCTCCATCTGCCTCTACACCAAGGGTGCTGACACGGTCATCTTTGAACGTCTGTACAAGAGAGGCGTAATAGAAGCAAACACCGAAAGAATCTTGTCTGTGAGTCCTGGCTTGGGGGAATGCAGGCGGGACAGGAGCAGAGAGAGAAGGGAAGAGGAGAAGAGTGGGTAGAGGAATAACTGCAGCTCCCTGGGGCAGCCCTGGACAGTTGAGCAGGGAGTGCACTGCGCAGAGCACCTTCCTGCCCAACGCACACGCTGGGACCTGAAGGCCCTCTGGCCTGGGCCTCAATCCTAGGGCTGGAGGTGTCAGAGCCCAGCCAAGGGCTGCCCAAAGGCTTTTCTGGGGCCCTAGGGTACCCTGTTTTGCCCAGAGGAGGGGAGAGCTGGGCTTTGAGTCTCTCAGAATGAAGACCTAGAGCCTAGGGGCTCAGCAAGTGGTATCAACCACCCAGCCTAGGGTAAACTGAGTCTCAAGGAAAGTCAAAAGCCAGCCTGATGCTCTGGCTACCCCTGAACCCCACGGTCCCATTTTGTAGTAATTATACACCCTCCCCCAGGAAGAGGAGCTGGGGGGCTGTGGTGAGCACTTTACTGGGGACCACCGGCTGACAGGCTATCCTTAGGGTGCGTTGGTTCTGGGCCTTTCCAGGAGTACTGGGGGAGGCAGTCAGAGCTGGGGGCGCCCTAATGGAGGGGTTCCATGTAGCTACTTGGGAAAGTTAGAATCTGTCACAGGGCTAGGTGTGGTGGCGCATGCCTGTGATTCCAGCACTCAGGAGGCTGAGGCAGAAAAGTGGCAGAGAGTTAGAGGCCTGGTCTCAAAAAAAGAACATAGAAATCAATCTACCATGGGAGGTATAGGTAAGGTATTCCTGTCCCTGGAAAGGCCTAGAACCAAGGGAGCTGGTGTCTGGAGGGAGTGCATGGGATGAGGAGGCTGGTTCAGGGACAGGGCAGTAACAGTGCTGGCTGCCATCCCAGGCCTTCACAGAACAGACCCTTCGAACACTGTGCCTGGCCTACAAGGAGGTGGAGGAAAGTGCCTACCAGCAGTGGCAGCCGCAGCACGAGAAGGCCTCCACGCAGCTCCAGGACCGTGCGAAGGCACTGCAGCAAGTGTACAGTGACATGGAGCAGGGCCTGCAGGTGGGCAGATGCGCGGGGGACCGGCCCACTGGCCCTGGCATCCCCCCAGGACCAGGGAGCTGGGAGTCTGGCTCAGTTCCTGCCACTTCCACCCCCACCAGCTGCTGGGAGTCACAGCCATTGAGGACAAGCTCCAGGACGGCGTCCCTGACACCATCAGTAGTCTCAAGAAGGGGAACATGAAAGTGTGGGTGCTCACCGGAGACAAGCAAGGTGCAGCACCTGCAGCCGCCTTCTGCTCCAAGCCTTTCGCCATCCATCTGGCCTGTTTGTTGTGTTAAGCACTGCCCTGCAGGTTGACATAGGAACAATTAAACATGCCCCGTAATCCTACCACTTGGGAGGCTGAGGCAGGAGGATCTTGAGTTGGAGCACAGTGTGGGCAATTGGTTTAGCTTAACAGGATTCTGTCTCCAAAAGAGCTAGGGACTCGCTTTTTTCCACTTGTGATTTCCAAAGAAATGTAGACATTTTCAGTGTTCCTGGAGAGGTAATGTACTGAGATAGACACAATGGTGCCCACTACTAGGGCTCCTGGGGTGGCCTGCAACTAGGTAGGTCTTGAGGCTGGCTCTCATTGGCTAGACTGGGTGACATGCCCAGCCCTAAACCAATCGCAATGATAGGGGGGAGGAGATGTTGCTGTGATTGGTCAGGACATAGTGGGGTGGGCGTGGGCCCCAGGAAGGGTGAGCAGGTAGTGTTTTCCTGAGGCACTGAGCAGCTGATTTTGCAGAGACCGCGGTGAACATCGGGTTTGCGTGTCAGCTGCTGACAGACGACATGCTCATCCTGGAGGCGCGGGACGTAAAGTAAGCAGCCTGCTTGCAGCTCCTGTGTGGGGAGGAAACTGAGGCACAGCAAGATGGGGAGGCCCAGGGGAAGAGGGCGCAGGGCTGGGTGGCCCAGGCTGAGCCCAACCCCTGGCCTCCGTCCACCCTCAGCATCATCCTGGACTCCTATGGGGAGCACAGCAAACTGGTGCGGACCCCCAAGCGCAGCCTGAGGTTTCAGCTTCAGAACGAGGTGGCCATGGTCATCAGTGGAGAGTTCCTGGTCAGTGCCAGCTCAGGGCAGGTGGGGTGGTCCTTGGAATGGAGGAGGAGCCCGGGAGAAGTGGAGACCCCTGAGACCTCAGATGGTAACATTGTCAAAGGCCTGACCCGAGGAGCTCTCCAGGATAAGTCCTTGTCCTGGAGTCACCGGGAACAAGATGGTAACACCATCCCTCCTCCCCGCCCCGGCTAGGACCACCTGCTGGTGTCCCTGCGCAAGGAGCCCCGGGCTGTGATCCAGAGCGAGGCGGAGGACAAGGCCAGGCAGGAGCTGAGTGCCATCAGGCGGTTCTCCATGATGTGGTGGAGCCTGGGGACCTCGTTGTCCTCGCGCCGGTCCAAGCGCAAGCGGAAGAACGAGAGCCCAGAGGCGCGCCGGGAGCGGGCCTTCGTGGAGCTGGCCTCTCGGTGCCAAGCCGTCATCTGCTGCCGGGTGACGCCGAAGCAGAAGGCCCTAATTGTAGCGCTGGTCAAGAAATACCAGAAAGCAGTCACCCTGGCCATCGGGGACGGAGCCAATGACGTCAACATGATCAAGAGTGGGTGGCTGGTGGCCGGGTGGAGCAGAGTGGGGCGGGTGGGTCTGGGCGGGCGGGGCTCATGGCGCACCCTTCCCACAGCTGCAGACATTGGCGTGGGACTGGCGGGCCAGGAGGGGATGCAGGCTGTGCAGAACAGCGACTATGCGCTGGGGCAGTTCTGCTTCCTGCAGCGACTGCTGCTGGTGCACGGGCGCTGGTCCTACATGCGGATCTGCAAGTTCCTGCGCTACTTCTTCTACAAGACGGTGGCCAGCTTGGTGGGCCAGATCTGGTTTGCCTTCTACAGTGGCTTCAGCGCCCAGGTGTGCAGTCTCCTTCCCTTTCTCAGGGCCTGGAGCCCAGCAGGGTTGTCTGGGGTCCCACCCCCATCTCCTCATGAGTTGGGGAGATGGAGTTTAGCCAGATCAAGGTGGGTATGCGGGAGTACACTTGAGATCCCAGCACTCACGGAGACTGGGGAAGGGGAATTTTTTGTTTTGAGAAGTCTTGGTCCCTTTAAGTCATGAATTTCCCAGGGTGGGCCTGATTTTGCAGTCCTGTCTCAGCCTCCCACAGTGCTGAGATTATAGAGGTGTGACACCACACCCACCTTTTCCCCTAATTTTTTTTTTAATTTCCCCTGATTTTTATGCAAACCTTGCTTAACCCCTTCCTGGTCTCAGCTCCAACCCCAACTGTAACACCACTTCCTGCTCCCTCGGGAAGCCTTCCCAGTGCCCACAGGCCTCTGAGGGCCATCTCTGTGCCTTGCACAGCCCCTGTATGAAGGCTGGTTCCTGGCGCTCTTCAACCTGCTCTACAGCACCCTCCCAGTCCTCTACATGGGGCTTTTCGAGCAGGTAAGCAGGATGTGGGGGGCAGGTCTGGCTGCTTCCTGTCTGGGCCAGGGCATGAGGTCCAGGTAGAGTGTGGCCCAACACCCTCCCTGCCCACTGCATCATATTTGCTCCTATGTGGGTTCTGCTGTCTCACAGGGCCACCACTTTCTCTTTGTGGGACCCCCTAATCCTGCAGTCCAGCCCCTCAGCCCTCTGGTCTCTGCTATATATGTTTTCTCCAATCCTGAGAGGCCCCACCTAGGTTGTCCAGAATAGGAGGGTCCCAGAGAAGATCCCGGATGAGGGATATGTCCACACCACACTGCTCACTACAGGAGCTGTGGCCATGCATGGCTAAGCAGGGGCCCTTGAGCACTGTCAGTAGGACTGAAGAACTGGACTTTATATTTCATTTCTTTTTTAGGGGAGCTGGTTTGAGATAGGATCTCAAACATTGCGAGAGGCTGGGAGATAGCTCAGTAGAATAAGCGCTTGCATGATAAATGCAAGATCCTGAGTTCAATCCCCCGTATCCCTGAATTTAAAGTGTTCAAATCCCTTATATAATAACATGGTGCAGTATTTGCACCAAAATTGAGACCTGCAAATTTGTAATCCTCCTCCCTCAGCCTCCGGAGTAGCTGGGATGACAGGTGTGCGGCCTGCGCCCTGCTCTTCCCATTTCATTTGAATTCACCTAAATCACCGTGTGAGACCAGTGGCCAGTGAGGCCCAGTCTCCTCTGGGGATCCCCTTGGCCTCACGCTGGCCCAAGAGGTCCCCACCCCCACCCCCAGGATGTGAGCGACACTCAGAGCTTACGGATGCCCGAGCTGTACGTGGCTGGCCAGAAAAATGAGCTCTTCAACTACTGGGTGTTCTCCAAGGCCATCATCCATGGCCTGTTTACTTCCTTGGTCAACTTTTTCCTTACTCTGTGGATCACCTGTGACACAGCGGGGCCCAACAGCCTCAGCGACTACCAGTCCTTTGCGGTGGTAGTTGCCTTCTCCAGCCTGCTGTCCATCACCATTGAGGTGCGCAAAGGTGCCTGGTCCCAACCCAGGGGTGAGGGTGGGACTCAGTTGCCTGAAGCCTCATCCTCCAGTGACTTCATTTGGGGCTGGTTTGAGACAGGGTTTCGCTATGTAGTTCAGGATGGCCTTGAACTTATTATGTAGCTCCAGCTGGCCTCAAACTCATGGGGATCCTCTTGCCTCAGCCTCTGAGTGCTGGGATTACAGGCCTGTGCCACCACTCCCTGGTGCGCAGTCCCTGCCCCTGGCTGATCTCTGTCCCTCGCTACCCAGGTCATGCTGGTCATCCGGTACTGGACCTTCTTGTTCCTGGGGACTCTGCTGGTCAGCCTGGGCTCCTACTTTGTCCTGACTTATGCCACCCAGAGCCTGTGGGCCTACCAACTCGTCCCAAAGACTTTCCCATTTCTCTGTGAGCCCCTGGCAGGTGACAGGATGGGGGAGGACACAGGGAGGATTGTTCCCAGGAAAGGCGGGGGGAGAGCTGCCTCTGCCCTGATCCTCACCCTGTCCCCAGATGTCCTCCACAGTGTGCTGAGCAAGGCCCCATTTCTGCTGGTGGTGCTGCTGAATGTGGCAGTGAACACCCTGCCCATCTTGGCTCTCCGCATGTTCCACCATATGCTCAGGAAGCCGCGCTTCAAGGTGAGGGTTGCAGGACACGCAGGGGGACGCATTATGCTCTTGGGAGCCACACTTCTCAGGCGGGGACCACACGTTCTGGATCAGAAGCCGCAGCTATCAGCCAGACAGCCGCCCTGGGTTCTCACACCCACACCATCAGATTCCTGGCTGTGTTTTGAGTAGGGTGACAAAAACAGCCTTAGAATAGTTTATGCGGAGGTCGGGGAGATGGTCAGTGGAATAAGCACTTGCCTGAAGGGCCTGAGTTCAATCCCCGGTTCCACACACACACACAAAGAATAGTTTATGCCAAAAGGGAGATTTAGAAAGGGCCCAGAAGGGGCCGGGCAGATAGCTCAGTAGAGTAAGTGCTTGCCTGGCAAGCACAGGGTTGACAGGGTCCTGAGTTCAATCCTCAGTACCGCAAAAAAAAAAAAAAAAAAAAAAGAAAGAAAAGAAAAGAAAAAGAAATGGCTCCCCAGGTGGTCATTTGCAGATAAGGTAGTGCATACGATTGGCATAAGTGCCTGCATGGCAAACTGAAGGTCGTGATCCCTGGTACCAGAAAAAGAAAGAAAAGAGAGAAGTTTGAGACTATACAATTTGAAAGGATCCTGTCTCAAAATAAAATCACAGCTCTCTGGGAGGCTGAGGTAGGAGGATCACAACTGGGCAGTTTATTAGCATTTTAAACTCTGTTTCAAAGGGGAAGGGGCTCTCAGAGTCGGGCTCCAATGAAGGACTCTGATTGGCTGACCTGGTAAGGGTTAGGACTCTGATTGGCTGGTTCAGAATCAAGGGAAGGGACTCCGATTGGCTGGCCCAGAGTCAGTTCCCAGGTAGGGAGTCCAGCTCTACAAGGTAGAAGACAGTACTGGCTCTGAATATCTCCCACTGCTCCCAGGTGCCCCTAGACCGAATAGCAGACCCCGGGGGCTGATGGCCCTGTGGTCCCTTTGCTCTGCAGGAGCAGGTGGAGGCCTTCCCGAGCGAGGTCTCTGAAGAGCCCATGCCTCAGTTCCGCCGGGAGTCCCGTGTCCGGCGCTCCAGCTACGCCTTCTCCCACCGTGAGGGATACGGGAACCTCATCACGCAGGGCACAAGCTTGCGAAGGCCGCATGGGGAGGGCAGCGACACGAACGTCCCCTCAGGGACCGAGATCGAGGAGGTGCTGCCCTCAACTCCCCGGGAACCCAGGAAGATCTCGTTCATGATGAGCCAGCGGCCCCAGCTCAGGTCCAGAGCGCCTTCCCAAGACTCGCAGATGTCCTCCACTCTGAGCTTGGCCTCCACCCCGGACCCGGACCCGGGGCACTCTGGGAACCAGCCTGCCGCCACCAACAGACCACTCACTGGCCAGGGCTGGCTGTCCGAAGACAGCTCGCTGCCATTTGCTGAGGCTGAGGCTCCGGTCTTGGAAAGGTCATCACTGCCCTGGGATAAGAGTTCTGGAGGCTGGGCGCAGGGCCTCTGGCAGAAGGCCTCTGTGCCCAACCAGGTGGCGATAGAGACGAGTCCCAGCCAGACCCAGGAGTCTCTGAGTGAGCTGCCCATGGAGACCGAGTCTGAGTCCTTGGAGAGGGAGCCCTCGCCCATGGAGTGGCTGCCGGTGTCCTCTGAGGGGCAGCTGTCCCCTCCTTTGGGGGAGCAGGCCCCTGTGGGAACAAAGGGGCAGGTATCTCCCAACACAGGGCAGCCAGTGAGCAGGAGGCCTGACCCCAGAGACAAGGGAGCTGAGCCCTTCACTCTTTCTAATAAATCTGGGTCCACCTGAGCTCAGGGCTTCTTTGGGCTCCTTCCTTTCCTCCAGGCCTCTTGTTGGAAGCCGCATGCAATATTTTTTCCTGTTTTTTAGACACCAAAACACTAAGTGTGGCAAAACTCGGAAGGGTGGTGCATCCTTATAAGCCCAACACTTGGGGAAGGCTGAGTGAATTACATAGTGAGGGTTGGGGAGATAGCTCAGTAGAATAAGTGCTTGCCTGGCAAGCACAAGGGCCTGAATTCAATCCCCGGTTCTGAAAAAAAAAAAAATTACATAGTGAGACCCTGTCTCAAAAAGCACAAAAAGGGCTGGGGAGATGGCTCAGTAGGATAAGCGCTTGACTGGCAAATGCAAGGATCTGAGTTCAATCCCCAGTTCTGGAAAAAAAAAAAAGCCCACAAAAAAAGAACTAAGGATATGGCTCACTGTGAACATCGTGGGTTCCACCTTACTACACACCCGCACCACACACACAAAGCAAGCCAGCAGGTTCTGCATGGTGGTGTCCTCCACCCCACTGCCTGCCCATGGGCCCCTTCAGCCCTTCCTCCACCAGCGCTCCCCCCAAACACCTTCCACTTCAGACCAAAGGCAGCAGTGAGTGTCTGGAGGAGGCCTGATAGGTGTGCACAGGCACAGGGCTTGGAGGTCCCAGCTTGTCCCTCTGTTGTCCAAGGGTTCCGTGGAACGGGGGTGAGTGGGGTCTGGGAGAGGGCTGGGCTCTCCTACCTCCCTGTCACCTTCAGTGTGGCTGCACTCCTTCCCCCTCCTGCCCCTCCTGCCCCCCATGGACCAACATACACACCCAGCTGAGTGACTACAAAATAATTTATTGAAGAAAAAAACAAAACAGCAAACTGAGCACAGGAATGATTAACAACGATGATTTTTTTTTTTTTTTTTTTCCCTTTTAAGCCTGTCGCCTGAGGGTGGCATAGAGAGGGCTGGTTCCCCTCCTGCCCTGGGGGGATGGGACTGCGGTGGTGCCCTGGGGATTCCAGCAAGAGCCCCTACTTCTAGATCTTCAGGAAAACACTGCTGGGGGGTCACCTGTCCTGGGGACACCATGATGAGCCAGGCTTTGTTGGGACCACTTTGGGCAGAGAAAGGGCTTCCTTGGGGCTCACCTCAGCCCTCACCCAGGCCCGCTGTTATTCAGATGTCCCTCTGTTGCCCCCAACTCAGGAGCTGCTGTCACAACACTGGGCCTGACCTGTCCCCACCTGCAGGGCCACTGCAGAGGTAAAACCCAACCTCAGGAAGTCAGGAACCCAGATGTTGGGGATCTGAGGGGTACCTCTCTTCTCCAGAAGGGGGCGTCTCATACAAAAACGCAGCTTCCCAATCCTGGGCCGGTCAGAAAGTCAAACTGAGGTGCAACCCAGGGCCAGGAAACTGAGAGGAGGACCAGGTGGAGTTGGGCCCAAGGGGGGCGCCCTTTGGACCTGGGAAAGCTGGGGCGCACCCCAGGCCCCCTGCCACCACGGGCGACGAGACTCAAACTGCCTGATTGTCTCTCCTCTGAACAAGACACTTAGGAATACATGCTAAAGTGAAAACAATCGGGGCAGAGCAGGCGGGGTCCTGGCTGGTGACGACACCCACATGGCATCAAGATGGGGTAGGGACCTGGTGACCTCCCCCTGCTCGACGGGGTCAGGCGGTGGTGTGTTGGGGTTCATGGAGCTCAGGTCTGCCTCGCTCCAGGACCCCTTTGGCTGTCCACCTGGGGCCTGGTCACCTGCTGGACACACACAACTCTTCAGGAAGGGGAAACAGGGACACAGAGCAGCACAAAGACCACGGGACAGCACTGACTTGGCATGAAGTACGCCGATTGGGAATGGACCCTCCCCACCCCCCTTCACTTAATACATTATCGCCAAGAAAGAGTATATTAGCCATGCACCAACTCAAAAGTCCATTTTGTCTTTTTTTTTTTTTTCATTTTTCTTCCTTTTTTTTTTTTTTTTTTGGTCTTAAATTACATCTGGACACGGAACAGATAGAATAATAAATACTCTTATAAGACAGGACTCAAAAAAAATCAAGAAACAGAAGCCAGAGAATGGAAAGGTTCACCTCTTTCTCCTTTCTCTCTCTCTCTTTCTCTCTCTCACCCTCTCTTTCCTAAAAGACTCGTTTAAATAAGAAATCTGTAAACGCTGCTGGTCCCTCATCACCTGCCCTGCCTCGTCCTTGCTGACCACCAGCCTCACTGCCCCTGACATTCAATATGTCTCTCACAGGATGGTCAAAGAAACACGCCGTGGCCTGCGAAATTATAATCTAACTGTACAAAGCTTCAAGTCACATAGTCCAAAAACTAGCTAAGGAATTTTCTTTTATCACATAAACTATACATTAAATATTTTGAGGTATTTCTGAGAGAATTGTCAAAGGCTTGAAGGAATTGTGCTGGAGGGGGGGTTCCCTGGGTGGGAAGGGTCTTTGGTTTGTTTGCAGGGCCAAATGGCATTGGGGGAGATTGGGGTCTGCACCCAGTGAAGGGTGAGAGCTGTGTGTGTGTGTGTGTGTGTGTGTGTGCGCATACACACGTGCACATTTATGTGATGGTGTTTGAAAATGACCCAGTGGGCTAAGCATGGTGGCACACACCTGTAAGTTCCAGCTTTCAGGAGGCTGAGGCAGGAGGATCACTGTGAGTTCAAGGGCAACCTTGACTATATAGTGAGTTCAAGGCCAGCCTTCCCTAGAGCAAGACCCTGTCTCAACAACAACAATGAAAAACAATAAAAGAAGCACACACAAAAACAAAACCTTACGCTGACAAAGGGAAAGAAAAAAGAAATGGATAAAAAAGGAAGGATGGAAGGAAGGCAGGGACAGAAAGGAGAAAAGGACCCTCTGGGACCAGACATGTGGCTGAGTGGGGGGAGTGCTTGCCCCGCATGCATGAGGTCCTAGAATCCATCTCCAACACTGCAAAGAAAAAAATAAAGACATTTCTATAAATACGGCATGCCACCATATTTTCTTTGCCCTAAAAGTTCGTGTTTTTGCTTTCTAATTCTAAAAGAAACAAAAATGGTTTTGTGGGCCCTAGGCCTGCTGGGCTCAGAAGATATGTCACCCTGTCACCCACTATCCATCCAGAAGAGGGGATCCAGTGTATGTGGGGTGAGGAAGGGGCCTCAGTTTCCCCAGTGGAGCTCCCAGTACCCAGGGTCATCCCCAAAAGGAATAGGGCCACTGTGTGTGTGTGTGTGTGTGTGTGTGTGTGTGTGTGCACGTGTGTGTGTGTCTCCATGTCCAGGGTCAGCAAGTGGGGACCATGGACTCTTCACTCTCACAGTGCTGCCCCAACCCCCACAGGCTCTGTGACAGTGTCACTTACAAAGCTAGAGGACAGTGGCAGTCAATAAGGGCACAGGATACGCCATACACATCTTTGGTTCAAGAAAAAGGCACTCACTGACCTTGCCCTCCTCTCTCTCCATCTCTCTGTCTCTCTTGTTCTCTGGGTGGGTGGGGGCAGAGGGGTCACCAGGCCAGGATGGGGAGGGAACCCTACATCCAGCACAAGTCCTGGGGAGAATCTTTGGTATCAGACGTGATTTTTCCAATCACGAACGTGAGCATTGAGTGAGGTAGCCTTTACCCGGGGTAGGGGTTCGCTAGAAACGTCTTTTGCATTCTCCAGGTGAGGGGAACCCTCTCCCTGGGAGGCAGCCGAGGGGGTCAGAGTTTGGGGTTTTGGAGGAGGAGACTCCTTTCAGCCTCTGGATTTTTGAACCACGGGGAGGCGGGTCTTAGGGGATCCAGTCTTGGAGGTCGCCTGCCCGGAGAGAGTGCGGTTGGGGTGGGGTGGGGGCGCTCCCCTTCATTTCCGACCCCTCCCCTTTGTTAAGAAAAACAATTTTTTTTTTTTTTTTGGCAAAACACAGAGCAAGCAGATTCCAAGTTCTCAACATCTTCCTTCTCTCCTGGGAGAGATGTGACAAATGCAAGGTCCACCCCAGCTGCCATCCCCTGCAGGGTGGGGTGGGGGACCACTTCTGCAATCCACGAGGAGGAGGAGTGACAAACTGGGGATCCCCGGTGCGCACCCGCAGGGCCTCCTGCATGTCTCCCTCCCGCGGACTCTGGCGTGGTCTTCAGGTTCCTGGGATGCACCTTTCCCTGTGTGCATTCGGCAAGGTGCCTACAGGTAAAGTGAACTAAACCGAGAGGTGCCAGGGCAGGGGGCGCCTGGAATTTACCCGCATGTTGGAGCCGGCCACACCCAGGTCGTGGGGTGACAAGGGCGCTGTCCTCGCAGGCCCCCTCCCCAGGCTTTAAGGCAGGCAAATCTTGGCACGAGGGATCCTGGCCTCTGAGTGGGGGGTCAGTGGGGTCTCAGCTGGAGGATTCTGCCAGCAGAGGGGTGCTGTGGGGTGGGAGGGGTGCCACAAGGATCCAGCTTGATGTGGGTTTTGGCGACTTGGAAGGGACAGTGGCTTCCGGGATGGGGGGACACCTCCCGCAGCCCCTCTGCCTTTCCTGGGGTGGGATGTCTGGGAGAAGAGGATTATTTTTAAATTCCTTTTTTTCCCTTAAATACCCGGTTTATATTTCTAGTATGTGCTTTTTGACCCGCTTTAGGGGACCACACAGTGAACCCCAGATTTCCTGGAGGCCCCCTGGGCGTCCTGAATGGAGGGGAGCCTGGGGAACCCCTTTCTATCCCCTTGCCAGGGCCGGGGGCTTCCTTTGGCCTGGGGTGGGAGCGGGGAGGGGGCCCGTTGTGCGCTGGGCCGGGGTGTGCGGTCCCCTCCCCCAGGACGCTCAGGCCTTGGAGAAGGTGGCCGGGGCGCCCGTGGGGCCCCCGGCGGTGGTAGCGCCCGGCTCCTCGGCCCAGCGGTTCATGCAGCGGCGCCGCGCGTTCATGAAGAAGTTGCTGACGGTGTTGAGCTCCAACCCCAGCTGCTGCGAGATGGTCACCTGCATCTCCTTGGACGGCCGCTTGTTCTCTTTGAAGATGGCGATGAGCGTGCGGCGCTGCAGGTCGGTGAAGACCAGGCGCTGCTTCTTAGGCTGCAGGGCCCGCTCCTTCTGTTGCTCCTGCTCCTTGCGCTTGCAGGCTGCTCGGGTGGGAGGGAATGCAGAAAGGGTCCCGGGTGAGCTCGGGCCACACACAGCGCCTCCTCCCCGGGCCCTCCTCCCCAAGCCCTTCATCCTCCTGTCCCAGAGGCGGCGGCCCCACCGAAGCAGCGCTGGGGGTCGGGGGTGCTGCCATGGCAGGCCCTGGTGCAGTGTTTCACAATCGCTCCCCGGAGAAAACCCTGGACCCCGTGTCGCACCTCATCCCATTTTCCCAGGGCACAAGACGGCATCTATGCGGCCAGGCAAGCGAGGACGCTTAGGGACCCCTTGGAAGAGAGAGGATCTTGGGAAGGAGGAGGCAACAGTGGGGGTCAGGGCTAGGGCTGGCATGGCCTTCCTCGGAATAGGACAAACTTGCGAAGTTGCCCAGGCTGACCTCAAACTCAGAGTCCTCCTGCCAAGGTGGCAGCTCTGGGTGATGCCAGAGCTCTGTGAAGGCACAGCAGACACGGAGGGGGAAAGGGGGACTTATTACCTAGGCTGGCTCCCCGCCCAGAGGCCCTGGGAGGTTTCTGCAAGGCTGCTTTAACCCGGCGAATCTCAGCTTGAGGCTCAGCCACACCCTCCTCCTATGCACCCGTCACCCCCAGAAGCAGCCAAGGGTGCTGCAGACTCCTAGCAGGTCCCTGCTGCCAGTGGCAGTGGCCTGGTGGTCATACAGCAAGTTTGCTCTCTCTTTTATTTATTTTTATTTTTTTGGTGGAACCAGGGATTGAACTCAGGCCCTTGCACTTGTCAGGCAAGCGCTTTTCTACTGAGCCATCTCTGCGGCCCAAGTGCACCGAGCAGCATGGACGAGAAGCCGTGCCAGATCGATACACACGGGGGAAAGAAATGAACGTCTGGCGCTGTGACGCATTTCTTGAGGACAGGGGGTTCACAGGCATAGATCGCTGGCGTAAAGGGATGCAGCACCCCTGCCCCTCTTACTTCCTCTGACGGTGGGGGTGGGAGGTTGGTGCTGTGAGTCTCTAACTAGTTGAGGTTTTACGGTTAAATCTATGATGGGGGCAGGCTATTTATTGGACATTTTAGGAAGTCATCTAAGGGCAGAAGAGGGAGAGGAAAGAACATGTGATAAAAAAAGACTGATTTCAAAAGGAATCCACAAGGCAGAGCTGGATGCGGTGCTGTACACCTGCAGTCCCACCCTCTGGGAGGCTGAGGCAGGAGGACTCTGAGTTTGAGGTCAGCCTGGGCAACTTTGCAAGTCTGAGACCAGCCTGAATTACAGAATGGAATCCTGTCTGAAAACAAATAATAATAGGCAGGGCCTGGTGGTGCATGCCTGTAATCCCAGCACTCTGGAGGCTGAGGCAGGAGGATCACTGCAAGTTTGAGACCAGACTGGGCTACAAAGTGAGCTCAAGGCCAGCCTGAACTGCATAGCGAGACCCTGTCAATAATAATGATAATAATAATAATAATAATAATAATAATAGGAAGAAGAAGAAAAAGCAGGCAAAGCTATTGATATTTTTTTAGCTGTAATTATATGCAAACCTCTATTTTGGAGACTGATTTTAAAAATATGCCAAGTTGACAAAGGGTGGATTGTAGTGGTTGATACATTGTGTCAACTTGGCTGCTATTGACATTTTTGAGGTAATAAAATATTGCATTCATGAAACAAGAACAGAGGGTTAAATAGAAGTGGTGAGGGCTGGGGAGATGGCTCAGTGGAATAAGCGCTTCCCTGGCAAACACAAGGGCCTGAGTTCAATCCCCGGTTCCTCAAAAACAACAACAACAACCAAAGATCCTATGTTCCATCCCCGGTACAAATACAATAAAATAAAAAGTGGTGATTAAAGAGTCAGAAAATGCTTTTAGAATTTAAATGCATCATGCAGATGGCTGGCATAAAATGCCTCCTAAACGCAGGATAAGTCAAAGAAATACCCTAGAACACAGGAGAGAGAAGACACCATGGTGGGAACGAGACAAAGAAGATCACAAAGCTGGAGGGTGAACGTGGCAGGTCTATCACCTGATCAAGAAGCACCCCGGAGTGGGCACAGTGGTGCACACGTGCGGCTGCAGCTACTCGGAAGCTGAGGCAGGCAGACTGTGCAAGCCCAAGACTTTGAGGTCAGCCCCAGAAACATAGTGAAACTATGTTACAAATAATAACTAAATAAGCTGGGAATGGTGGCACACCTGTAGCCCAAACATTTGGGAGACTGAGGCAGGAAAACCGCTGTGAGTCAGGGGCCATCTGATCTACATAGTGAATAAGGCCAGTCTGAACTACATAGCAGGACCCTGTCTCAAACAAACAAACAACAAACAGTCTCCAGAATCACCAAATATCCAACCATAGTCGGGAGTTCCAGGAATTGATGTTCCCCAGAAAGCTACTGGAAGGTGTGCTCCATTCATCGGAGAAAGTAACTAGAAAGAAGCGTGGGTGTCAGGAAGTGATGGGGGCAGGCCTGGGGGACTGCTGGACAGAAGCAGTTCAAGGACCCAGAGAGGCAGCCAGGGGCCCCAGGATAGTGGGAAGGAGAGGCGCCAAAAGGGCCGCGCTTTCCTACTGAGGCAGGGCGCAGAGTTTGTGATTGGCAGCCCTGAGCTCCGGGAACAGCAGTCATACAAGGCAGGAAGAAAATCACCGAATATTGGTGCAAGGGGAGGAGACCCTTTTTGTCATTGTCTTGGGAAAACAAACAGGGGTGGGGTGTGAGTGCAGCCGGCCGCATCAGGCCTTGAGCTCCAGTCCTAGCACCAAGGTGCCAACATGTGGCCAGTCTTGGGTAGGAAGTGCGCAGTAGGGAGCGTCCCTGAGATGCCGCCAGAGGCCAGCGGAGCGTTTCTGTTTTACCGGAAGAAAGCAACCGTGGATAGAAACCCCAAGACCTCACACTGGAGCTAGGAATGGAGGCGCTCCAGGTCTGAGGCAGCCCACACCTATGCCCCCCTCCCCCAGCAATCATCTGCTGTTCAGACCCAGGTGCTCTCAGAACCCAGGTGCTCTCTAAGGGTCCGGGAGGCAATTAGGTACCCATTCTGCTTCCACTCAGTTTTTTTAGTTACTAGGGATGGAACCCAGGCCCTGTGCACTTAACCACAATCGCCAGTCCTTTTGACTTTTTATTATGAGAAAGGGTCTTGCTAAGTCACTAAGTTGCCTAGGCAGGCAGCGAATTTGCGCTCCTCCTGCCTCAGGCTCCCAGAGTTCGCTAGAACTATGAATGTGCACAGGTATACTATGTTCCCATTCCTTGAAAGGGAACACTGCTGTGGAGGTAGCTCAGCAGTGTAGTTCCTGCCTGGCAAGTTCAAGGTCGTGAGTTTGATTCCCAGTGCCCCTCCTTGAAAAATAAATAAAGTGAGCATTGAATGGGCTGCCATCCCAGCTCAGGAGGCTGAGGTAGGAGGGTCTCTGAGTCCTACTTGGTCAACTTAGAAAGCTCCTATCTCAAATACTATATGTTTATGGGGGTGAGGAGCTGGGGATGTAGCTCAGCAGTAAAGCACTGCTGGGCTGGGTCCCCAGCACTGCAAATACAAGAATGAGGAATGCCTCGAGGCAAGAACCTGGCTCCTGGCTCAGCGGAGGTGTGCACTGGCTGGGGAGGGGGACAGCAGTCACCCCTTTTCCTGTCCCCTCTTGGTTTCCTAATGGGGACCCAGAGGCAGAGGCTGGGGGAGGAGGTGGCACAGCAGAGTCAGGAAGGAACTTGGCGTTTTGTCCATGGCAGCAGAGGCTGGGCGCCCCGCCCCGCGCCCAGGCTAATTACGCTCTCTAGCGCCATTGATCTGGTTGGTCGGTCCGACAGCCTGGTCCTTGCCCATCCCCCAGCCAGCAGCATGGAGGATGCCACCTGGAGACCCCAGCTCGGTGGAAACTGAGGCTGCTGAGGGGGGCTGGGTTGCGCAGGGTGGGAACGAGCCACGCCTCTACTGCAGGACACCAGATCCATAGCCACCCTTCTGGAGACCTCCGCTGCCACTGGCTGCCACCGCAAACCTCCTCCACCGCCTCCACCTGGAGGGCAGCTTACCCTGCCTGCCCCTGGTGCCACCTCCTTCTCCCCTCCATTGGGATCTCTACTGTCACCTCCCCCAGTTGTTTCATCTCCCCTTCTTCCATCTTCCCCCATCCCCTCCATCTCCTCCTCCATCTTACCCTCCATCGCCTCCTCCTCATCTCCATCATCTCCTCTGTCACCTTCTCCATTGCCTGCTGTCACTACTGCCATTTCCATCCGTATCCTGCCACCTCCCTCAGTGGCCATCTCTTTCCTCTTCTGGTCACAAGCGCTATGGCCCCCCACCTTCCATCTCAGCGCCCGCAGCTCAAAGCCCCACCCTGGGGTCCACTTCCAGCACAGGGCGGTGAGGGCTGTGCCCTCCCCCTCCAGGGAGGACGGACAGCAGGCCCAGATGTCCTGAAAGTAGGGGATGCAGCCTGCGGGCTGGCGTTTGGGGTTGCTGAGGGCCCTCAGGTTGCTTCGGGGTGCACGTGGGCACTCCCGCACTGCAGAGCTCCCTGCTCCGACCTTCTCTCCTCCCGCAATGCGCTTCTCCAAGTGCCTTGACCTCCACCCCCAGCAGCAGCTTCCTCCTTGGGGCCCTGCAGGCTATCTCTCCCCTCCCCCTCTCTCCCCCATTCCTGATCCTTTTTCTTCTTTAGGTATTGAAGGTTGAGTCCAGGGCCTTTCCACTGAGCTACCTCCCCAGCCTTTGTTTTATTTTTTATTTGTCCCGACTAGTCTTAAACTTGAGATCTGCCTGCCTCAGCCTCCCAAAGTGCTGCTGCGACGGACGGCGTGCACTCCCAAACCCCGCTTCTTTATTTCTTTTCCCCACGGCAGAGGATGAGGGGCTGCTCTGTTCAGTGGTCCTGTGCCCAAGAGGGGGCGCCGCATTTCTCCTGCCTGCCCTCCTCACTTTTCGGCCCCCACGCTCTGAGCCTTTGAGGTCCTTTGAGTGGCTCTGACCACAGAACACTAGTCCTGCCTCTATCTCCTCC